TATATCCCCCCCCCCCGAACACTCCTGACCTATTAATTCCGAAAATTATTTTCGTGTCGTCGCCGTACCTTAAATTTACAGAGAGCCTCCTTTTACACTATAATAAGACAGACCCCTTGATGTGCGACACCACTATTAAGTTTTTTTCGCCTTTTAAACACATAGATTAATTAGATGTAGATATATAAGTTCTATTATTATATTTTAATGCTATTACTACTCTTGTGGGGGTTAGGGCGTGGCCTGTCACACGACGTCGCTACAAAGGATAATACCTCCTCCAATTAAGCGATCATGGATCCTGGTCAGTGACGGTGTAGTTATAGTATTCTTGGTAAAATTATATAATAAAATCTATGGCTGCGACGCTTGTGGCTACGTGGTACCCCGCCGGGAAATTCCCGTGTACCGACATCCTCCACTTCTTGCTCCCTGTGCCGGAAAACCCTACGTGCTAGAAAAATTAATAGGTACTTTGACTTTATATATCTCTAAATATGTATACACCTTAATATTTCTCATGATTTTTATAAGTTACATTCTATGCCTACTCCTAGACCTACACGGTGATTGAAACTAATCTATAAATAGCTTAGCTCCGGAAACGATACTATTACGTTATTAATCACATAACGATCGCGTAGTAAGCGTAGTAAGCGTAGAATGGCGTGTACATCTATAGGAGAAGTTTCTAGAATATTCCAATTTATACTAGTAGCTATAGTACTACCTAATTACAAAGATATGTTTTATTAGCCTTAAGAATAGTATATTAGGAACAGCTTCCCTAGACCTCTCTCTATCAAAGTTATTAAATAAATATAATACAATTGTAAAGCAGAAGAAGACAAACCATATAGCACTATTGTTGATTCTATTAAAGTTGAAAAATGGAAATACTCTCTAACGAATGTCCTATAACAATTGTTTCGTTCTACACAGCTACAGATGTTGGATGATAATCTGGAGGAAGCCAAAGGACGGGTTTCTTGTCCTTTGTTACCCAATTATCTAACACTGTAATGCTATGTGGCGAGAAGGCCACGGAGTTGACGAGGTCGGAATGGCCCTCAAGCGTCTGCAGCGGCCTGCCTGTGCTGGCGTCCCAGAGCCGCACTGTGTGGTCGTTCGAGCCTGAAGCCACCACCTTGCCATCTGGCGAGAAGGCCACGGAGTTGACGGGCCTGGAGTGGCCCTCAAGCGTCTGCAGCGGCCTGCCTGTGCTGGCGTCCCAGAGCCGCACTGTCTGGTCGTTCGAGCCTGAAGCCACCACCTTGCCATCTGGCGAGAAGGCCACGGAGTTGACGGGCCTGGAGTGGCCCTCGAGCGTCTGCAACGTCGCGCTCCAACCTGATCGCACTTTTGACTTCATTTGAATCAATGGTAGCATCTCTTTCTTGAACTGTCTCTTAACCATACTATTCTCTGGGACAAACATGATAGCTGAACAGTATAGTTGAAGGGGTGCTTTTTCAATCACCGACTGGTTATATAGGACAAATCGTTTGGTATCATGAATAAACGAGTGTAAACTAGAATTTTCATTTGCCTGAGTAATGTTTAATTAACTTAGATGACTATTTATATCATAGAGAATGCTTACCGAAATAAGCGCTTCTAAGGACAAAATTGCTTGAATCCCTTCGGAGGTCCTGCCCATCCACCCAAGCGCCTCAAGCCAGTGCAGTAGGTGCTCTTGCAGAAACCGGTGGGCTTCATCGCTATTGTAAGCCAGAGAGCCACTCCTCTGCAGATGCTGGACCCAGTAGAGGCATGCGTATTGTACTTCGGGTGGAAGGCATTGCTGTAGACGACCGCTCTCGACTTGAGTGACTTGATACCCAGGAGCATGCAATTCACATATATCTTTCTTGAGTGTCTTAGACATCAGCTCTATACAGCAAGTAGCTAATGTACCCTGTGCTTGCTTCTCATCTACCCAGAAATTCCCACATCGATCTTTGTTAAGAAGGAAGTCGCGAAACGAAGGGTGGTGTAGGCGAAGCTGGCGAGTCGGGTCGTCTGGAATATCAAGGATTGAATGAAGGTCGTTGAATGTCGAATCGACATATTACCTAGAAACTTGTAATAGCCTGCTCAATGCAGAGGTAGAGAGAGGTAATAACAACACTACTGTACTTCCAAGTATGTGATTTAGCATATCGCATACCTCTTCTTTCTCTTCGTCCGAAAAATCCAAGGAGATCGAGTGCGTGAGGACAGCAAGGTAGAGTTTATTGAGATGCTTCTCTGGTGTAGTAATACTGCTGCTATTACTTTAGAGAATTGTATCTAGTCTCTTGCGTGCGAATCGCTTTCCTTCACGGATGAACAGACATGCCGTTGCCGCCCAGATGAAGAGTCCACTAGCATAGACAACCAGCTGTCTTAGAACTTCTCCGCCGGGCTAGTCAGCTCCAAGATTCCAGTCTTGCCTGATTCTCCCTAGAGTGTCTTCTAGGAATAAAGAGATATCATGATCGACAATCGATGGCTGTATATTGTGGAGTACAAAGTCCTGGTGTTCAGCTTGTGGGATATCGCGTATTCCGTGACAGATGGGAATTTCAGGCCTGCTCGTCAAAAAAACCCGAAGTCGCACCGTCGATAATGATCGAGCTTCAGCTAAGAATTGTACAATCATCCGGATATGCTGCTCATTATCGCACTCATCCAAGGCATCGACTATTAACACATAAGAGGATGAGGACGAGCCACTGCCTAGCATTGACAGTGGGCGGAGGACAAGCTGGTTCTATTGATCGCGGAAGGACTGACCAGCAATATCTTTACGCTTAGAAATCGTATTATTAATGTATTGTCGAAGAGACGGTATATGATTTGCAAGCTGCACGGCAATGCTTGTAAAGAACTTGCTAGCATGGCCCACATCTCCGCTACCTCTCGAGAAGAAGAAGCTAGCCCCAAGGCGCTCTTTCTCAAAGTATCTCCGGGCAATAGTACGCGCAATGGTCGATTTCCCCGTGCTAGCCAAACCATTAAGCCAGAATATATACCGCTCATCTTGTCTATTAGCCCAGTCGTATATCTCTTGTAGCAGGTTAGCTCGAGTGTTAGGAAGGCAGAGGAGTTCATTTTGGTGTTCGACTGAGTTAAAAGGCGCGTCGGCAGCGTTCGGTAGAAGGCTAAGCGGGTCTTCTATACCTAGGCAATTGATTAGTTTTGTAGTAGTCCTCTGTTTGCATTACGAAGGACGAACCGCTGTAGTAATGATTCTCGACTCCCGTATGTGTATAATTCGCGTTTCCTATATGTACTTGTCCGCCGAGGATGTGATTGCCGTAGTATTCATTGCTACCCGAGGATTGACGCCCGCTTAGCTGCGGCTCTCGTCCGTACATTTCTTCTCTTCGCTTCGCTGCTATAGTCGCGTTTCCAAAGTTAGTTTCCAAGCTAACAATTGTACAGTTACGATTGTTGTAGGTCATCCGTTGATCAGGTCGATACGATCTAGCTAACGACCTATCTTATACAGTACTGTATGCGGGGTTTGGGGGCTGCATAATGGCGTCTAAGGATACTTGCGTCTGTTATCTTCTACAACCTGGCACTGCTGACCACTATACACTCTATCAAAAAAATTCCTACACTTCACACTTTGACTGAATATAAGATATGGCCGAAATAGCAGGTCTAACAATCGGCGGGATTGGCCTCGCAAGCCTCTTCACGACCTGCGTCGACTACCTCGACTGTATCACCTTAGCACGCAATCACAGCAGAGACCTAGAAGTCTCGCTCACGCAAATGTCCCTCCTCAACCAGCGCCTTAATATCTGGGGTGAAATTGTGAAAGCTCAGAACAACGGGTACGAGCTCCCCGCGCTTCGCGAGAAGTGGCCTCAAATCGGTGGCGCTGTCGGAGAGGCCCTTGTGTCCATCAAAGACGCCTTCACAGACGTCTCAGCGCTGGAGAAACGATACAGTCTAAAGGCAACGCCGGAAAGCAGTAGCACTGCTATGGTTATTCACGAGTCTCGAGCGCTTAACCAAATCATGGATGCCTTTCACATCGTTCAGCGCCGCCGGCAGAAAGAGATGTCTGTGTGAGAGGCCAGACCTCGAATAGCTCAAAGGTGTGGTTTCGAATATTCAATTAAGAAGTGCGTGAAGACTACATACATGCAATCTCTTCCTCTATATATAGAGAGAGGAAGAGTTTCTGGAGTCTTCCAAGAAACTGTTTGACAAATACGTGACATCAAAAGAATAGAGTAGAAAAGTGTAGAAAAGGAGAAACCAATTTAGCAGTGGAGCAATGGCCAATGCTGAGCGGGGACTTTGGTCAGTGCTTAGCGAGGGCATGGCCCGAGCCTCCATCATGGGTTCCAACCCTCACAGTCTGTTATAAATAAGACATGGTGGGCGGTACACGACAAGAAGAAGTTCGATGCCCTAATCCAAGTTGTCAGTTTCAACATTGACAGGTTCGAGAAGATTAGCGAGAACTTGAACGTCCTCGAGAAGCAGAAGAAGAAGCTAGCGTCGGTGATTGAGGAAATTGACGACGAAGACAGCTTGAAGTTACTTGTAGAGGCGACAGAAGAAAATCAAAGTACTAGATCTGCTAGCTCGGGTCACCTGTTTATTAACACTATTGTTGGCGAAAGGGTACGTGTAACGATGGGAAATGCGGGGAATTCAACTATTGTCGGTTATAAGTTTAATAGGACGAACATTATGAACGCGGAGGTATATATAGGGAATATGTCAGATGAACGTGTAACGATGGGAAATGCGGGGAATTCAACTATTGTCGGTTATAAGTTTAATAGGACGAACATTATGAACGCGGAGGTATATATAGGGAATATGTTAGATGCTGCTCTTGCATCGTTTTATAGTGCTTTAAAGGGCCCTGAATTAGGCAAGGAATAAGCTAAGAGAAAACCACAATTCGTAGTTGCGAGGCATAAAGAGCGATATGTTCTACTCTATCTTCTCGAGTTATATAAACAAAGTGAAAAAGTTGTAAAAATCGAACATAACATAGCCCTTTCTACTATAAGTTAATTCCGCTATCACCAAATGCTAGTTAACTACTTTCCAAATAATACAATAGCATATATTATCTAAAAACACTTCCGCGGCCTGCCTAGTATAGCAATCTTATCTTCTACATCCTCTACTACCACATCCGCGCCATAGGGGCTCTCAATGAATCTAGCGTAACTTGTATTACACTCATTTGCGCCGGCGCTACTAAGCCTCTCGCTAACTCTGGTGCGTTGCTTATTCGCGCTACCTTAACCTTCGGTTCTAGCGTATCTACCTCTAGCATAGTACTATTGCGTTTCCGACCACGTTTTGTCTTAACCGCGTTCGCTTTATCTGCCTCTGCTTTATCTACCTCTACTTCATCCGCCTCAGGCGTAGCATTTTTACACTTCCAACCACGTTTGCCCTTAGCCTTACCTTTATTTTTTTTGGCTTCTTTGGTAGCATCTTTTTTAGCACGCTTCGCTCGTGCTTCCTTAAGATCCTCATAGCTTATAACCTTCGCCCTTCCTAGCACTAATGACTTCGTCGATCGTCGAACCTTGGCTTCGTTGTTAATAGTGGTTAGGAGCTGAATTCGGTCCTCTTAGAGGATACTCTAAGCAGAGGATTTCTGGAAAGCTTTGGTACATTTCTATAAATGTCTAGCTAGGTTCTGTTTGCTCGTTCCTTCAAGCGTATGAGCATCCCGTTGAATGATCAGGTTCTGTAGTGACATAAAAGCCTCTGCTGACACTGGCGTTACAGGTGTTTGCAGTTCTACGTCTTGCTAACAAGATGCTACCTTTACCTCATCGGGTCTTAGAATAGCTGGGGGGCGGGCATACTTCTAAGCACCCTCTCTGGATTAAAAGGGAACAGACCGCTTCAGCGAAGCCGGCCTTGATATTCTTTGGCGTGAATGCTAGTTTCCTCGCGGGGCTATACAGAGAGGTGAAGTGCTCCTTGCCAATCGTATTTACACCTCCTTGCTCAAGTCGATCAACCTGGTCGCGATAAGTGTGAGGGTTGGAACCCATGATGGAGGCTCGGGCCATGCCCTCGCTAAGCACTGGCCAAAGTCCCCGCTTAGCACTGGCCATTACCCCACCGCCAAACAGGTTTCCACCATTCCACACTTTCTTGTTTTGTTCTTCTGACATCATGTATTCGTCATTCAAGTTTCTTGCAAGTTTCTTGGAATATTCAGGAAGCTCTTCCTCTCTCTATATATAGAGGAAGAGCTCGCATGTATGTAGTCTTCACGCACTTCTTAATTCAATATTCGAAACCACACCTTTGAGCTGTTCAAGGTCTGGCCTCTCACACTTACACTTCGGTATACGAGTAACCTCCCGTGCTGAAGGAGCTCATGCATATATTAAGCGCTACCTAGGGGGCAAAAAAACCAAGGGGGACCTCTATTCATCATGGCTACTTATTGAAGCAGCTGTAATCAACCAAATTACAGCTGTATCAACTCGTATAAGTATGTTACAGGACCGCGCACCACTTGATATAGACAAGAAGCTATATCAAGGCTGTTTTGGGGTAGTCACTTGGTATGCACTACGACTTGTACAACGACATCAAGAGACTGTTTCTCGGCCACTACTGCCCTGTACTGGTGCTTTTACCCGGGCAATGGGCTTGCCTTGTGCACATATATGCGAGATAAAGAAGGACACTACTGGGCTTACTCCATCAGACTTTCATGAGCACTGGTACTGGGACCGTAAAAGCACTATACAGCCACTACTTAACCCTCTATGGGCTGGTAGACAGCGTATAG